CTTAAGGCAGTGGTCATCATGTCAGTTTGGATTTTGGTGAACTGGCCCTGGTTATTAAAAAGTGAAAAAAATACCAAATGTTCAGTTGGATGCCGGTCTGCACTGATATGTTCCCAATTTAAACCCCAAACACAATGCCAGTCGTGGGATGGTTGGGGCAGTCTGGGGATGGTAAATCTATCATCTCTTATAAAAGAGTTAGCGTGCCTTGTCTGGCTAGCCGGCCGAGCATGCATGCAGTATTTAGGTTAAACCGCAGTCCGCCTTTATAGCGGAGTGGCATGTCGGCTCTTTTACGTCCGTTAGAAAAGCATAACACATTCACAGGCTCTCAGCTGTCCCAGTGCCATCCTGTCAGGAAGCCTGGCCTCTGTCTACTTTGCACTTACTCTTCCCCCGGTCAGCGCTCGCTCTCCTCTCCATTATGTCATAAAGCTGCTGCTCTCCAGCCATTCTTACGAAGCCACAGTGTGGTGGCTTTCAGCGCCAAGGCTGCGTAGTTAGTGGACGAGGTCATGTGGAGGTGCTTGAGATGAATGTCATACGATATGTTACTGTTTTGACCTTCGCTTTGGATGAGTCATTAATGTTCTCTTGGTGACATTTTTTAAACCAGCTAGCATGTCAAGCCTTGATGTTCAGCTCAAAAACTATAGGTTTGTTAGGCTGTCAAACAGCAACAGACTTGTATAAAACAGATCATTTCTACAGTGTGACTGGCTGAGCCACATCCAAAGCCATGGTAAAATACTCATATTAGTTCTTTGAATGGACTGTTTTGCTCAAAGAAAAAAAATGGCTAACAGGCTAAGCAGGCTAAAAGTTAGCTAACAGGCTAAACTGCTTCTCCATCATTTATCAGTGTTAGGCTTTCAATGGATGTATTCACTGAATGATTTTCTATAAAACTGCAATATGAAAAGAATATGTTACTTGAATGTTGTAAATGATTCAAATGTCTATATTTTTTGGTTAGATCTGCCTTAAATAGCATTAAACCTAATGTGGAAAATGTGTGGGGATGTTAGCTTGGTGCTAGCATAGGGAACTAGCAGAAATTAGCATTATTGTTGCAGTGCTAATTTGGTGAGTAAAAACTACTCATAATGTGAAGGTTTCTGCATCAAACACAGCTATATTATGATATTTTTATTATTTTATGACAAAAGAAAAATCATAAAATGACCGCAATATACAGTTATGGACATTTCTCCTTCAGCAATCCAGCAGTCATGGTTGCGTGCCAATAATAGCATACTGTAAACAAACTACATTTCTTGATGGAAGAATTGTTTATTGCAATTACTATTAAATTAGTCATTGAAAATTTTTGTATTTTATCATATTTCATGTTGCAGTCATTTTACAAAAGCACAATGCCACTATATGCATGAATATAACTGCACATATCAATCAAATTTTGTAATAATGTGCCATATTATTTAAAAAACATTATGCTGTGTGTGGAATTGTCTTGCTTGTATTGTGCTGCTTGGTATCCTCAGCCTAGTGATATTACCAAGCAATAATAACCTATTGTGAATATTATAAACTGCATATTATTTATTGAACATTTCTCACGAATTGGTAAAGGCCATGTATTACAGAGAAGTATAGATTTTGATCCTCTTTGCATCATATCTGACGCCCCTTAACCATGATAAGGATCATGTACAGCTTCTTGTGGCTTACTGCTTTATTACATGTTATTGCTTATCCCTGCACAACCCGTGCTGGACCTCAAATGCAAAGAGGACCAGTAATTGTACTTTCAGATGCATGGCTCAGCGGAGATGAGTGGAGGGAAAGATATGCTGACAGATAGATGGCCCGCGCTCCTCTTCCTCCTGGGCCAGAGATTCATTAGACATTCAGCTGATTTCCTTTCCTTCCAAGAATCCACTGTCCAATCCTAGCAAGGTGATTTATTTCATCCATAATCCACTTATTTCAGATCAAATCACTGTATTTCCCTTCCATTTCACAATGGTTAAGAAGAACAGTGCGACATTACACATGCTACGAGATTGCATGCATTTTTGAGCCATGTTTTTTTTTTTTTTGGCCATGAGACTAGAAAGAGGACAGATGAAACACTGTGCACAACACATCACAGCAAACTAATCCTGGCGAAAACATGGACAAAATGATTGAGATGTCTATGCCTTTCCTGTCGTTTCCAAACGTGTGTGGATTGATAGTGCTTAGAGAAAGCCAAAGGCCCAAGAAATATGGTTGTGCCAGCAAATCCCATTTCTGAGAGAGTGACAGATGATGGCAGATGACGTCACAGGAGGAATCTGAATCTCATCTTGCCTTAATGAAAAGTAAGCTTTGGCAAATACGAAGCGCTGGTGATGGTTTTCATCCTCGCTTTTTTGGTTTTTGGGGTCGAGAGAGTTACACTGAATGAAATTACAGTCTTTAATTTCCTCTGTGCTGCCACTTACGACAATTACGTGCGGGGTGGTTCTTCTAACACAACAATGAAGAAAGATCATTTGTTTAAAGAGATAGCTGAACTCCAAAGGCCCGGTTCTAGTGCTGAATGACTCAACCCCAAAAGACAGCATTGTTAGTTCAAGCAACTAGTGATTCAGCCCCTCATATTGCATCAGGCTCGGAGACTTTAATGTCCCTGATAGGCAGTTGGCAGGAAAGAGAACCTGCAGACAGCCGGCCTCTCCTGGGGCTCCGCCGGGCAGAATGATTGATAGAGAGACCGGGGCACCAATATCTGTCTGGATAGGAACAGGTGAGGGGGGGTAATACAGTGGGATTATTCGGCAAAGCCTTTGCTCCCTAATGACGCCGCCGCATGTCAGAATATGAGCAGACCACAGCACAGCAGCAAAAGATGAAGGACAGTGCTAAAACTAATCGTGATTCACCAAGAGTACTGGGCAGTACATGCTATAAGTCCAAAAATCTGTAGACACCTGCTCATCCAGCGTTTCTTCTGAAATGAATATTATTAGTAGGGAGTTTGCTGCACCCCTGCTACTCTTCTGCAAGAGCTTAACACTAGATGTTGGGACATTGCTGTGAGAATTTGATTGCATTCAGCCACAAGAGCATCAGTGAGATCAGGTACTGATGCTGGATGATTAATTCTGGATCACAAACGCCACTCCAACTCTTCCCAAAGGTACTGGATGGAACTCCATCACCCAGACAATACAGTGTCACTGCTCCACAGGGTATGGTGACCTCATACACCACTGCTTCAGAGTGTCCCATTCTATTAGCAGTGCTTTTCTACAGCAATTACATGACTGCACAATTGAACACTTGTGACAGCAAAAATACCTGAATTCACTCATTGAAAAGTGTGTCTGGATACTTTTGGACATCTATCACAGGTTCCCAGGCAGAGATTAAGCCTAGTCCACAGCATTGTGAATGAAGCTTTAAGAGGAAACCGACCCATAGTACATCTGCCTGTATGAGGCCTTTTATATTATGCAATTCTACAAGAATGCCTGCCACGGTGGAATGTCTGACACTGTCTGACATAAGCATAAAATAAAACAATGGAAACTGGTGGGTTCGTCTTTCTTCCATTTCTTTTTTATTTCTAAAAATGTGGTTATGCTGTCTTATTTGTATAGGAATTTTCTAAGAGGTCACTGGAAGGCTAGACATAAAATAGAACTAAGGAGTACCAGAGATAGCTGGGTAACATACATAAAAGGTCATATGCAAAAGTTTGAATACCCAGTGTCAGATTATATGTTTTGTTGATACGTGTATATACATAGTGCTGTGAAAAAGTATTTGCCCCCATTTAAATTTAACATTTAAATGTTTCAGATCATCCAAATAATTTTAATATGCAGCTTTTAAATGATCATTTCATTTGTTGGAGTTCAAGATTTATTTAAAACCTATATAACCCCTGTGAAAAAGTAATTTGGTCCACTCTTCTTTGCAGAATTGTTTTAAATCAACTACACTGGAGGGTTTCGAGCATGAACTGCCCGTTCAAGGTTTTTCCACAGCTTCACAACAGGATTTAAATCAGGACTTTGACTCGGCCACTCCAAAACCTTAATTTGGTATCTTTTCAGCCATTCAGATTTGGACTTGCTTGCGTGCTTTGGATTATTGTCATGCTGCATAATCCAACTGCACTTGAGCTTTAAGGCCCCAAACTGATGGGTGGACATTCTCCTTTATTATGTTTTGACAGAGAGCAGAATTCATGGTTCCATCAATTATGACAACTCGTCCAGGTCCTGCAGAAGCAAAGGAGCCCTGGACCATCACACTACCACATTGACCTTAATTGAAGCAAGTGAGGTCTGCTGTTCTTTCGATGTTTTTCTGGGCTCTTTTGTGAGCTCCTGAATGGGTCGTTGATGCGCTCTTGGTGAAATTTTGGTAGGCTGGCCACTCCTGGGAAGGTTCACTACTGTTCCAAGTTGTCTCTAATGGCTCTCACTGTGGTTTGAGCCCTAACAATGGCTTTGTCACCCTTTCCAGACTGGTAGACTTCAATGACTTTGTTTTGTGTCTGTATTTGAATCTCTAGAATGTGGTATCACGTGCTGCTTTTTGAGACATTCCAGCCTGCTTATATATATATATATATATATATATATATATATATATATATATATATATATATATATATATATTCTTTTTTCTACATCTTCTGAGCTAAAGGACTAAAGAACGTTTTTTGCTTTCTCCTGTGAAGTTTTTTGTATCTAGTACATAGCTGTATAGATATATCAATTTAGTGTATAGATAAAAATAGATATTCTGATGAAAACATTTATTACTGTCGCTGCTGTCTGAATTTTTTATGGATCTGAGCCAATGGCTGTTCAGTCTAAAGACAGATGAGATGTATTTTGGGACATAACTAATGAAACCCGTCTGTAGCTCTGTTCATCTTTGTAGTGGCCAGGGGAAGGAGGACTGGGCAGGGAGGGATGAAGAGATGGAGGGATGGGGGTGGGGGGGCGGGAGGGGGTTATTGAGGGGAAGAGCTTGCACAGTGCACTTTGCAGTCCGTGTAGCAGGGGAGGGGGAAGCAGGCTGGCTGCCGGATCTATCCTCTCTCTCTCTCTCTCCCTCCCAGCTCAGCTCAAAGTGCCGTCTGCCTCTCCAGACCTGCCATGGCCGTTCTGCCTGGATATGCCTTCTTCTTTCTCCTGCTGCACTTTCAGCTCGCCCGCGCGCTCTATATCGCCGACAGCGTAGGTATGTACACAGCTTTCTCCTTCTTCAGCCACGCTTCGCTCCTCTGTGGATGTGTGGCTACTTTACCGGGAGATAACGAACGGCGAAGAGCAGCCGTGCTACAGCACAAACTCAGTTCCTCCACGTTTTCGCCCAAACAGCACTTTTAAATAAGTCATAGAAAGTGTCTGCGTGGTTGGTGTTTGGAGGGACATCCAGCTGAGGGGAATGGCCTGAATGCCATCGACCTTTTCCCTGCGTTTGCGTGTCTCTAACTTTTTTTTTTCACTCATCCTTTCGTTCGAATTCTCCTCAGAGCGTGTCTTTTTTTTAGACTAACTTTTAAAACTGTGGTAAAATGAAATCAGATTGATTTTCTTCTTCCACGGCGTGTCTTGTTGTTAACTTTATGCTATTTGTTATGTCGCGCTCGGCTCAGTGACAGTTAGGGCTGCTCGATTCCAGAAATTCTGGAGTCGACTCCGATTCCGCTTCCAGCTGAGGAGAATCGATATAGTCGATTCTGAGAGTCGATTCCACACAATCATTTCTTCGATTCTCGATTCCAAAAATGACAGGAGATCCAGCAAAATAAAAACAAAGTACAGCATTGATTAGGTTCACTATTATGATTATGTTATGAAGGACAAGTGATCCTGACTTCACACGGTCCAGCCTTAGTTGTTCTTTAGGGACAGAAGACGCCAGCTTGTTTATATGATTTAGAAAAGGGTATCTGCAGAGCTAGCGCTAGGTGACTAACAGAGGACAGCTAAACTGTACACACTAAAAAAATATGGTTCTTCAAGGGAAAGGTAGTTGCTCTGTTTGAGTTCTGTATAGAACCATTTCATGTTTAAAGGGTTCCTAGCATGGTGAAATGTATTTTTATTTTAGAGTGAAGGAGAATGTGTTGTGTATGGTTCTATATAGAACCTTTTTGAAAATGTGGCACCAAAAACGATTCTTCTGTTGTTACAAGCTTGACATCGTAACAATAGCAGAACCCTTTTTGGTGCCATATAGAACCATTTTCAAAAAGGTTCTATACAGAACATTCTCCGTCAGTCTGAAGAACCATTTCGCCATGCAAAGAAGCATTTAAGCGTTAACTTGTTCTTTATGGTATCCTTGCCTTTACTAAACACCCCTCAAAAAACACATCTTTGTTTCAGTGTGTAATCTTTCCTGATTCCTATGTTAACTCCTTGAAGTGAATAAAGGTTTCAGCGCTGGCAGTGTTGTTGGATTGCAATCCACTATTTTTTCCCCACTTTGTCCGTACTAAACCACAGCCGATTTATTGATGTATGTGTTGTGAATGGATGTAGTTTTCAGACATGCTGTCTAGACAGTGACAGCAGAATATCTCACACTACGTGTGTGAGCGGACTTGAGCGTCACCACGTGGAATCAAGTCCAAAGTCGAGTCTCGATTCCCAAATGCCTGGAATAGGAGAATCGACTCTTTTTGGGATGGACTCCAATCCCTAGTGATAGTTCAAACTCACATGAAATCTTCACGAGATGCCATTTGAAGTAAAACAGTTGACAAAGGCAGTGTTTCTTGCCTGTTTTTAATATTGTGCATAAAACGCAGACATTACTGTCATGAGTACACTGAGAAGGGTGCAATAGAAAATGACTATGCAGATTGCTGAGGAACTCATTGTGTGTATGTATGTGTATGTGTGTGTGGCTGGACCTTCAGGCTCACCATCAGTGAGGTGAAGGGCTTTGCATATGCATAAGGACGCTCCCTGCGCTCTTCGCACTGACCTGCACACTGCAAGTCGATGTAAATGTGTGGCCAGGAATGCATGAGAAGTTCCTTTTTGCATTCAGAGATATGCAACTGCGTTGTTTTTGTAACTTGATAATAGCTGTCTGTGAGCCCTTAGATCTGAAGAAGAATAGTATGTATTTGCCTTCTGTCACTAAAGAGGATTATTGATTTCTGGGCTGACTGAGAATCTGTATGTTGTCCTCTGTAGGTGAACATGAGACATGCATGCAGACCTATGGGATGTGTATTTGTGCAGGTATTTGTTTTTGAACAATTTCAGGACAAAAATGTCCTAACTATGAAGGAAACCTACTATGGAGGGGCAGCCCACTTTGTCAGGACCAACAGAATGGTCTTAGTGAAGCTGTATGCTTCTTTTTTTAAAGTCAACATGAATCGGCTTTATGATAGGTGGGCGATGGCGCGAGAGGGAGGTGAAACATGATATAGGCTAGTTGGTTAATATTATTTTTCCTGCCCACTGGTGCATGTTGATGTAATTAAAAATCAGAAGACATTTTAGAGGTGGGTGAAAGTCACTACACTGCAGTCAACGGATATGGATAGCAATAATTGTGTCTTTTTAATGATATGATGAGTACTCAATTAACTATACGAGATGTCAATATTTGTATACTGAAATCACTATTCAGGTATTCATTCCGTTCCATCATGGGAAGACAGAAAATATACAGATAGGTCATTCAATGAAACACCAATTTCGTGTTTTAACAAGACGGTAAAATACGACAAATATATTTCTCTGACAAATTTACAGTTGACACATTGTCCCCTGAGGAAAAGAAGACGCAAGCATCATCAGCATCCAGCCCTGCACCGGTTAACTCTGTTAGCTCATTAGCTCTTCTGAAGAGGCAGCTTCTCTTACTTATCCGACAGGAAAACCTACTGATTCCTTACGGCTTTTGGCATAAGTTTTCCTCTGTGTGCTGCAAAATTTTCGTGCCACGTTATCTAAAAAAAGCCTACATCCCTCCGTTACCAATCCACTCATTAACTCGTACAAATACTTGAATATCAAAATTACACTCAATGCATATCCCTAAAAGGTGGTTTTACTTTGAAAGGAAATTGACCAGGTAGTGTTCTCTGTCATTTATAAAGCATGTTTAAAATCATGTGAAAAACGAATAAAAACGACACAAAGTTTTGTTTTGACAGCAATGATATATATAATGCATAAGGGACATGCAGTTCTGTGCAAAGGTCGTAGGCACCTGAGCAAATACTATTGAAAAAGCTGTTTTTCTGGGTAGTAAATGTTTATTTGCTCAGAGAACACTAACATTGGAATAAATGCAAATAACGTTAATAGAGAACAAAGTGCTTTTACATATTTCAAGGTTTTCTTTGAACCATTCCCAAAGCTCTCCTCGACAAAGCCCCGTGGTTAGCATCAGTTGTCTTGTTTGGCTAATAACTCACACATTTTCTAAACCGCTTATCCTTCTGGGTTGTGGGGGGTGTGCTGGAGCCTATCCTAATGGTCATTGGGCAAACTCCACACAGAAAGGACCCTGGTCGCCCAACCAAGGATCCAAACCCAGGCCCTTCTTGTTGTGAGGTGACTGCGCCACTATGCTGGCCTGTTTGGCTAATCAGTGCTATATTGCATTAAGTCAGATGTGCTGCTGATGAAACTTAACGAATCAGTGTGATGGCTGGGGACATAAACCTGGAACCAAACCTGTGTTCTTCTAACTAGCTAACAAGATATCAACTACTTGCTTCTTTGTATGTTAGTTTGCATTTATTTTAATGTTTAATGCAGTTTTTAAAAGGAAAAATGCAGTTAATGTTCAGATAAATGGTTTTAAACAATTTGCTTTGGTGTCTAAGATTTTGTACAGTACTGTATATTAGACCCCACGTCCAGACATTGTATAAAAAAAAAACATATTTGTGTGTGTGCCTTTGGCAGATTCCCTGCAGCATGTCCTGAGGGAGTACGGCTTGGTGAAGCCGGTAAGCGTGGACGTGGATGGACGCTTCCTCTCCCACGCCGTCTCCGCCGGCCAGCTGAGTAGGCAGCAGCCCCACCGGCGCAGGCGGAGAGACACCCACCCGAATGGAGTGCAGGAGCATGCGAGCACCAGAGAGACGCTCTTTTACAACGTTACTGTTTTCGGGCAGGAGTTCCACCTTCATCTCCGGCGTAACTCACGCCTGGTGGCACCCGGTGCGACGGTAGAGTGGCTCGAGGAGGACAACCAAACCCACTCAGAGCCGCTCCTGGCCAGTGACTGTCTGTACGTGGGCCACGTTACTAATGTACCAGATACCTCAGTGGCCATCAGCAACTGTGATGGCCTGGTAAGTGCCCCTCTCTGTTATGTAAAGTTCTTCTTGACTTGGGTTCAGTGGAATCCATGAATAAGGTTTTCCTCTAGTATTTTCCTCAAGTAGGCTTGTTTTGTAATGAACACTAAGCTGTTATTATTCCATCCAGTTGTGCGGCATCGCGTGCATACTTCACAAGATGTGGTTGTATTTGGGAAGATCTTGGTTTACATGGTTTTAAGAGACCTTTGAGGGTTCTGTTAGCTGATTCTTGTGGAAACTGTTCTTGTAGTGGAAACTAGGGCTGAGCTATAAATTGAATTTTAATTTTGGTTTCCAACAATTATGAAAACAAGATAACTGAGATAAAATGATTATTGTGCCGCATTCTGTTTCCAAATGGTGAGCCCAGCGCACCGCTTTCTTTTATTTTTTATCTGTTTTCCAGTTGAATTATATTTAAAGTTCAAGGAAATCCACTATTAAAAAGACAAGTTAAAATAACCGTGGTCTCAATATTGACCAAAATAATCGTGATAATGATTCTTGCCATCATCAAGCAGCACTTGTGGCCTTGGCACATGTCCATGAATTAGAAACATCGATGACAGAGATATTCTTTGCACATGTATAAATTCCTTCCTACTGAGGTTTTGAGTGTAATGCAGTCAGATCACGCATTCTGACTCACTTCCGCTCGGACACCACAAACTGCATTGGTCCTTGGAGGCTAGCATGCTAATGGTCAAGACAGCTGCCGTTTCTCCGCAGACACTTCACGATTAAATCGTGATGGAGCTGGGCTGGTGTTTTGGTCCTTGTCTGTTTTCCCTTCAGCACTTCTTGCTTACAAGAGGGAGCATGGCTAGCATAGACTTTACCACATCAATTAACCACCAGCGCTGGGCTAACCCTCAGTGGAAAAGTGGACTGTAAAATGAATTGAACTCTGAGTGGAATCTCAGTCCTAATGAACATGTGATTGGAATAAAAGATCACACCATTCACTTAACAGACAGAAGGCTAAGAACTCAAAATGGGGAGTAAAACAAAACATTTCACTTCGTTTATCATGCATACCTTTACTTGTAGCATAAGGTGACCAGCAGTGGTTTTCAAAAAAGACCTAATGATCTATTTTTCTAAAAAATACATCTTATTTTTGTGTTTTTTATTTAATCATAATGCTTCTTCTTTGTACTCCTATTTTAGTATTGTATTGTAGAATCACTCTAGTTTTTTAGAGTTGGATGGAAACAAAATCTTGAAAGGTTGAAAGGAAAATGATCCAATCAAGATTTTTTCCTGTGGTATTTAGGTCGAGCTGGACTGAAGGCCTTATATATTAGATTAACTACAAATATTATTAGGAACTGATAGCAGAAAGAACGAATCACTGTGTGATTTAAAATGGGTACAAAGTTACAACGCTGGTTTAAGGAGGGAGTCACTTCCACATACATGTAAAACTGTGTTCTCTGGATGCACCATCCAATACATTTGGGATGAGTTGGAGAGGAGTTTGTGATCCAGAACTAATCAACCTACATCAGTACCTAACTTCACTAATGCCCTTGTGGCTGAATGAGATCAAATTCTCACAGCAATGTTCCAACATCAAGTGTAAAGCCTTCCTAGAAGATTAGAGGCTGTTACTGCATCAGAAGAGGGACAAACTCCCTATTAATATCTTTAATTTCAGAAGAAACATTGGATGAGCAACTGTCTACGAACTTTTGGACATGTTGTGTACATAATTATGTCTGTTACAAACTTCAAACAACAATATGGAATGTCTTTAAGATTTATATGTCTGTGTTTAATCTAGAATGGTCAAAAGATGTTCATGTGCACCAGCATTGTGTTAGTGCTAACATACTATTAGAAATCCCATAGCAGGAATACGCTAGCAGAAATGAGCACCATTGTAGAGGTGGGTTTTTCTCGTGTTTTGACATTCATGGCCCATACTTAAAACCAAACTCTAACAGTCACGGTTCCACAATGGTGACTGGTTTACCCAGTAGAGCTTTCATGAACTGACTATTTACAGCACCTTACTTTGTTATGGTGGCTATTGAAACAGCTATAATGTTTTTACTGTGTTGACCAAAGGTTCTAGCTCACCATCTTCACCTTTTAATGGTTAGCAAGATTGCAATATCACAAGCAAGTAAACTGAGACAATAGTGGTTATGTTACATGACATGTGGTTATGCTAACAGTAGCCTATGGCTTCAGGTGATAATAAGACATGTTTCTTTACCCATTTGTCCACCAAACTTGTCATTTGCTTTTACTTCTTATGGGAGCCACCAAATCTGCCTGCTGGTGAATACCTGTTTCACTACCTAAATAATATATTTTAATTAATTAACTGAGAAAAAATGGGCTGTTAGACCTACTTGTGTTGTCTTCTCAGCTTCTAAGTGTAAAAATCATTTCTATCAATGCAGATATGAAGCTAATAGACTTCTGTGTAGTAATACTACAGGAGTAAACCTCACAAAAACATATTGTGAAAACAGTACTCATCAATACATAGGTTACCTCATTGTCAGACTTTCCACCAAGGGACCCCACAAGATCTCCACCGCAATTTGAACCCTGGCTGTAGTGTCACTGACGTGCAGCAGGTTACCTTTTCAGCTTACACACTGACTTGCAAGCGTGTCCGGACTGCTCCCAGAAACACTTTGGCGTGACCTCACATGTGCTGGCTCCTGTTCACACCTCTTAGTGGCCTCCCTCACTGAAGCCAGTGAACCCCCCAGTGAACTTGGGGCACCACAGGAGACGGCAGGCCTGGCTTGGAGACTGGGCAGTCCGGATGGCGAGATGACTCCATCTGACCTGCAGTGCTTTTACCCGGCTAGAGGAATCTAGAGGGAAAACGTTCAGCTTTTAGCGTTCGGATGTGAGAGGCTTTATAATTTAGTTACATTTGTGGAGAGCTGCTCTCCAGGTTTGAAAGTCAGTTTAGGATACACATTTAGTCCAGTTGTACGTTTATAGGGTTGCGCCAAGAGGGTTTTTTCACAGATGATTCTGATTCTGAGGGCCAGTTCTTGAGGACCTGCCAATTCTCATGTATATATATATTAGAGGTGCATTGAATGAAAGCATGAATTTTTGGCTGACTAGAAACAGACTAGCACATTTCTGGTATTTTTTATTTGCAACAGAAACAGCATTATTTACTCTTTAATGGGCCAAAGTGGCATTTAAAAGTTTAAAATATGAAAATAAGTTTGTTAATTAAGTAGCATGAAGTCAAATAAAGTGCTACATTGAAAGTAAGAGGCAACTGTCTATGTAGCATAATGAGTCACATTATTTTGTTATTGGTGTAGCAGCAGCCTTACATAATAAAAGTGCAACACAGATCGGCCAAAATAAAATTAATACATTGCCGATGGCCAATCACGTGTTTTTTAGTGAAAATGGGCAGGACAAAACATTCTAGATTTTAAACATTCTCTGTATTGCAGCATTTCTGTTGGTCCATTCGTTATGAAATTTTCACGCAATGAAAAGGGCAGCTGTTGTTTCCATATAATGTAATAAGGTTATATACTTACAGAAGCGCTGTGTTACAATTTCTGTCAGTAGCATCCAGGATAAATCACTGTATACAGTCGAAAAAGGTGTTGTGCAGGTGCATTTTTCATACATCAATGTACAAACAATGTAAATCTATCCATAAAAGTACAACAATGGTTTTAAGATCCAACTGTGTACCTCAAATAAATTTTTCCTGGAGGATATGTACATATTCATACATTCTCATAACATACAACTTGATTCAATAAGAAATATAATTGCCGTGGAATATGCTACAGTTATGTTCCATAACTAAAGGTACTGAAGACGTACCCTTAAGAGGACCACCCCAGTGACAAGAGCTGTACTGTACCTTTTTTCTGGCCACTGTTGACCTATTAAAAGGAAAACCTTAGTAATGATGCTGTATCCCATTACACATAGTTGTATAGACTTTATCTCAATTACACACTGGCTGTTAAGGCTCATACTGTGTTACAACTGCATATTTGTAGCTCACATTGGCTTTGTCCGCAAAACGCAAGCAATTTCCTGGTGTATAATTTTTATGACTTTGTATTAACCATATCAGCAATACCTTGATAGCGTGCCAAATGGCAATACCAGTGTCATGCATGTCTGCACGTATGAGTTTTCTAAAGCACACCCAAGCTTTATACAGACAGTGTATTAATTTACAAAAGCAATACCCTCAGAATTCATTTTCTTATCAAGCTTCATGTCAATCATCTGATATATTATTGTGAATCTCTTTTGATCCTGAACTAGTACGTGTTTTAAAACATGTGTAACCAGAGTTATTGCATCTTCTGTCTCATGCATATTTAATAGACACATACATACATAACTCTTATGTAATTTCATCTATATGGTACAAAATAATAAAGTTAGGTTTCAGCTGTCAACTTATAATAGCCTGTTACTCTATATAGTGTATCTACAATATGCATTGACTGAGTACTTTGTTTACTGCATTGACTATCCAATGTCATATATCCATCAAATCAGAGGTAAAAGAATCAGTGAGCTTTGTCTTTCACTCTGCACTGATTTTCTTTTCAACAATCCTTATGGTGCCTCTCCACAGCACTGCATCTCCTTTGGCAGTATACGCTTCTTTAGCCTGCAAACCTCTGCAGAATACACCCACCACTCGTCTCCAGCTCTGTCAGTGGCAGTGGGGCTAGCTCTAGCGCCAGAGCCTGTCACGGAGGGAGCTGGGGAGGGCAGGTGCATGCTGGGAGGCCCGAAGCCCCGCTAAGTGAGAAGTGAGTGGGAGGCAGCACGGCAAGTGTGTGCCTCGCTTCTCCAGCAGGGGCACAAGCTGTTGCCGCCACTATAGCTACTTTTCTGTAGGGGGAACTTTGAGCTAACAAGGATACGCCTCCTACACAGAAGAGACATGTATGTGCTTCTATTTCATTCCATAGTGCTTGCTCGAATAGGAAGCTCCTCATTGTATACCTTAC